AATTGCAATGTGATATTAGTCAAGGAAATCGTGAATATCTTGACCAAAATCGCAATGCGATATTAGTCAAGGAAATCGTGAATATCTTGACTAAAATCGCAATACGGTATTAGTCAAAGAAATTAGTCAAATCCTGACTAAAATCGTATACGATATTAGTCAAGGAAATCGTGAATATCTTGACTAAAATCGCAATGCGATATTAGTCAAAGAAATCAATCAAATCTTGACTAAAATCGCATACGATATTAGTCAAGGAAATCGTGAATATCTTGACTAAAATCGCAATGCGATATTAGTCAAGGAAATCGTGAATATCTTGACTAAAATCGCAATGCGATATTAGTTAAAGAAATCGGTCAAATCTTGACTAAAATCGCAATACGGTATTAGTCAAAGAAATTAGTCAAATCCTGACTAAAATCGTATACGATATTAGTCAAGGAAATCGTGAATATCTTGACTAAAATCGCAATGCGATATTAGTCAAAGAAATCAATCAAATCTTGACTAAAATCGCATACGATATTAGTCAAGGAAATCGTGAATATCTTGACTAAAATCGCAATGCGATATTAGTCAAGGAAATCGTGAATATCTTGACTAAAATCGCAATGCGATATTAGTCAAAGAAATCGGTCAAATCTTGACTAAAATCGTATACGATATTAGTCAAGGAAATCTTGGGGGCAAGATCATCTTGGGGGCAAGATCATCTTGGGGGATCAGTAATCGCCTTTACTTTCCGACAAGCTTAAGCATTTTGGGAAAAGCTTCGGCTTTCGGACACTGTCGCAAGTCAGTTTTGACTATTTTTTTCATATCTCAACTTGCAATTGACTAATCCACTTGAATTTGGTATCAAAATGTTGCTTAAGATGTTTCCAAGACCCTCGTATTACTAAGGAAACCCTAGAAACCCTAGAAATCCCAGAAAACTCAAAAAATTCAGAAAACTCATAAAATTCAAAAACAAAGCTGGCAGGCTTGGATTTATGAAAAATCAGAGTAAAAAAGTGCAGCACTTGGGGGGGGCTATTTCTAGCCCCCAAATCCCCCAAGCACTCCCCCGGTGAGGGAGGGGGTCACCCTGAGCTATCTTGGAGGAATCACCCTTACCTCAAGCTCTGACGAAGACGCGCCACCGTCTCAGGCTCTGAAAAGTCCTGGGTCTCCGAGTTTTAGAGTCTTTGCTTTGACTGAGCGTTGATTGAGCTGTGTACCCCTCAGCTTTCCGACAATTCCCTTGGCTTTAAAGTACCCGGGTACTTAGGAGTGCCATTCTCCTTTACCTCACGGACCTACATCCGCTACAGTGGCGCACGGAGGACATCCGCTGCCGATAGTGGGTCGGTGACTCCTGCTTTTTATGACCCCCTCGGTGTCCATGGGCGAGAAACTGCGCGTTTATCGCTCCCAGAGGGTCCGAATCACCTTCCCTTCAAAAAAGCATCGTCTGGCACATGGAGGTTGGGGGTAACTTTTTTGCAGGTGGGACCCGGTTTAATTACCCAAGTTTTTTCCTTGACAATAAAATCGCAATGCGATATTAGTCAAGGAAATCGTGAATATCTTGACTAAAATCGCAATGCGATATTAGTTAAAGAAATCGGTCAAATCTTGACTAAAATCGCAATACGATATTAGTCAAAGAAATTAGTCAAATCCTGACTAAAATCGTATACGATATTAGTCAAGGAAATCGTGAATATCTTGACTAAAATCGCAATGCGATATTAGTCAAAGAAATCAATCAAATCTTGACTAAAATCGTATACGATATTAGTCAAGGAAATCGTGAATATCTTGACTAAAATCGCAATGCGATATTAGTCAAGGAAATCGTGAATATCTTGACTAAAATCGCAATGCGATGTTAGTTAAAGAAATCGGTCAAATCTTGACTAAAATCGCAATACGGTATTAGTCAAAGAAATTAGTCAAATCCTGACTAAAATCGTATACGATATTAGTCAAGGGAAATCGTGAATATCTTGACTAAAATCGCAATGCGATATTAGTCAAAGAAATCAATCAAATCTTGACTAAAATCGCATACGATATTAGTCAAGGAAATCGTGAATATCTTGACTAAAATCGCAATGCGATATTAGTCAAGGAAATCGTGAATATCTTGACTAAAATCGCAATGCGATATTAGTTAAAGAAATCGGTCAAATCTTGACTAAAATCGCAATACGGTATTAGTCAAAGAAATTAGTCAAATCCTGACTAAAATCGTATACGATATTAGTCAAGGAAATCGTGAATATCTTGACTAAAATCGCAATGCGATATTAGTCAAAGAAATCAATCAAATCTTGACTAAAATCGCATACGATATTAGTCAAGGAAATCGTGAATATCTTGACTAAAATCGCAATGCGATATTAGTCAAGGAAATCGTGAATATCTTGACTAAAATCGCAATGCGATATTAGTCAAAGAAATCGGTCAAATCTTGACTAAAATCGTATACGATATTAGTCAAGGAAATCGTGAATATCTTGACTAAAATCGCAATGCGATATTAGTCAAAGAAATCGGTCAAATCTTGACTAAAATCGTATACGATATTAGTCAAGGAAATCGTGAATATCTTGACTAAAATCGCAATGCGATATTAGTCAAAGAAATCGGTCAAATCTTGACTAAAATCGTATACGATATTAGTCAAGGAAATCGTGAATATCTTGACTAAAATCGCAATGCGATATTAGTCAAAGAAATCAATCAAATCTTGACTAAAGTCGCATACGATATTAGTCAAGGAAATCGTGAATATCTTGACTAAAATTGCAATGTGATATTAGTCAAGGAAATCGTGAATATCTTGACCAAAATCGCAATGCGATATTAGTCAAGGAAATCGTGAATATCTTGACTAAAATCGCAATACGGTATTAGTCAAAGAAATCGGTCAAATCTTGACTAAAATCGCAATACGGTATTAGTCAAAGAAATTAGTCAAATCCTGACTAAAATCGTATACGATATTAGTCAAGGAAATCGTGAATATCTTGACTAAAATCGCAATGCGATATTAGTCAAAGAAATCAATCAAATCTTGACTAAAATCGCATACGATATTAGTCAAGGAAATCGTGAATATCTTGACTAAAATCGCATAGGATATTAGTCAAAGAAATCGTGAATATCTTGACTAAAATCGCAATGCGATATTAGTTAAAGAAATCGGTCAAATCTTGACTAAAATCGCATACGATATTCGTTAAAGAAATCGGTCAAATCTTGACTAAAATCGCAATACGGTATTAGTCAAAGAAATTAGTCAAATCCTGACTAAAATCGTATACGATATTAGTCAAGGAAATCGTGAATATCTTGACTAAAATCCCATACGATATTAGTCAAGAAAATCGTTAATATCATGACTAAAATCGCATAGGATATTAGTCAAGAAAATCGTTAATATCTTGACTAAAATCGCAATGCGATATTAGTCAAAGAAATCAGTCAAATCTTGACTAAAATCGCATACGATATTAGTCAAGGAAATGGCCAAGATCTCGTCTAAAATCGCATTGCGATATTAGTCAAGATCCTTCGAAGAGAGTCTTCTGTACCAAAGGTATATACTAAGAGAGCCTTCGATATCAAAAGCTTATGTTAAAGACTCCTTCGGTACCGAAGGCGTTCAGTATCGAACGCTTATGTTAAGAGGTCTTTCGGTATCGAGGGCTTATGTTAAGGACCCCTTTGGTACCGAAAACCTTTAGTACCGAAGAATTATGTTAAGAGAGCCTTCGATACCGAAGGCTGATGTTAAGAGATCCTTTAGTACCGAAGGATTATGTTCAGAGATGCTTTGGTATCCAAGGATCTCTGAACATAAACCTTGACTAATATCGCTCTTGATATTGCTCTTAAAATATTACTTATGAAATTTCGTTATATAAATCCACAAGTTATTTAATTCATCTTACTGTAAAAATATACAGAAAATTCTGTTGAAAGTTAGACTACTTATTTGAAGAGTGATTCCACTCAAAACCTCTATAACTCCTCTAAAACTTGGTTAACTTTGTTAACAGGATGATTTTGTTAACAAGGTGCGGTTCTTAACAAGACGAACTTGTCAAAAACGTGAGTTTGTTCACAAAGTGAAATTCTTCACAAGATGATCTTGTTAATAAGGTGAGGTTCTTAACAAGGTACTAAGAGTAATCCCACGTGGATTATTCTAAGTAGAAGAGAGTGATTTACTAAAAGTAATCCCAGGGGGATTACTCTGAGTAAAAGATGGTGAATTACTGAAAGGAATCCCACGGGGCTTACTCTTAATAAAAGATGGAGATTTACTAAGAGTAATCCCCGTCGGATTACTCTTAGTAAAAAAGAGACAATTATTAAGAGAATTATTATTATTAATCTCAGATTACTCTTATTAAAAGATACGAATTTACTAAGAGTAATCGCCTTCGAATTACTCTTGATAAAAAAGAGTCAATTAATAAGAGTAATCCCAGGGTATTACTCTTAGTAAAACACCCTCTTTTACTAAGAGTAATCCCCGTGAGATTACGCTTAGTAAATCAGTCTCTTTTAACCCCTAGGTACCTAACCCTGAGGTACTTAATTCTTAAGTACCTAATTTTTAAGTACCTGACCGTTAGGTACCTAACCCTTGGGTACCTAACCTTTCGGTAGCAGCCTAGCCTGCCCCCAGATAACCTGGGAGCAGATTCGATTTCTGGAGGTAGGCTTAAGAATTTAGACTATAACGGCATAGTCAATTGTTAATTTGATCACAACTTACTTTTCTCCGGACGTAGAATGTTTGGTGAATTTCGAAATTACAATTAAGATGTCGAATTGCTTAACAAAAAATATGTGTTTTTCTAACAATTCTACAATTATTAACGAAAAAAATGCTTTTTGAGTGGTGATTGTTGAGATTTTTGCTTTGGGTTTTCTTATAATCTTTTAAAATAAAAATATTTATTCTCCCGACGTTTCAAAACAAAAATAAAAAATTAATAAGTTTCGGAGGCATCCGAAACGTGCTCGTCATTTGAGACGTGGTCACCTCTCTTCATCTCCTCTGGCTCCTCGACCTCTCCTTGATGCTAAATCAGACAAATAGATAGGACAGATAGATAGTTACCCACGTCCACCTCCTCAGTGAGCTCCTCGTCTTCCGACTTGTCGCCATCTTGCTCCACGAAGTCCTCACTCCATCCTGAAATGAAAAGTTGAAAAGATAGATGAATTATGAAAAAAAGTTCTTCAGAAATAGTTCATCACCTTTGACCAAGTTTCGCTCCTTGAGTTTGAGTTGCGTCTTCAATACGACGAGCAGTTCCTTTCCGTCTTCCATGAACCATAGATTGTTTCTAGCCCACATTTCCTGGTCGTTGACAAAAGCCTGAAATGAATATTCAAGAATGTGATGCTAAAAAGGTCACTTCAACAATCTGGGTGCAGTCTTCGGTCACATCTCGTCCCTGGGCGCGAGGCACGACCATTGCCAGACGTAGCGGCTCTGAGAGCCGCTTTGCCACCTCACACACCCAGCTCCAGCCTAAAAAAAGACTTTTTGCGAAAGATACTGCAAAATATGGAAAACATACCGACGAGATACTCGGTAATAGGTCTCTTCAATTGATGGATGAGTTTGTCGTAAGAAAGCTTCACTGAGAAGGGAGAAGGGATATACCAACGCTTCTGCTTCTGCTTCATACGACGGAGTTGTTCGATTTGGTCCGATAAAGTAATCTAAAACAGAAGAACCTGTTCAAAATTTAGAGAATACAAATGAAACCTTTTTGACCTGCAATAACACGCGTCGTATATTCGTGGAGGAGAACTGCATGTGGAGCGATACAAAAAAGAGACGTCGATGCTTCAACCAAACGTTGCTCTGCTCACAAAGTAAGCTCAGAAACTAAAAAAGACCATAGAGCATTGTTAGGCAATTGTTAGAACTCACTGTTAACACGATTGATAACCTGGCCAGTTGTAGTATTCGAGCTGTGGTCGCCTCGCGATCATGGACATGGTGTAGTTCTGGAGAGGACCCTGAAGAGAGGACCGGTGAAGGAGCACGACCCACGGCCACATCATCACCAGCACGTCCAAGATCGCTACGGTCTCCCACATGTTCACGACGGTCTCCTCGGGCACGAGCTGGTCTACGTCCGCGAGTGGCCACGCCAGCCAAGAGGGACTCTGGCAGCTGAATTTAGAAATTAGAAACATATAGATTAGAACTATATACACTTGACTGTTTGCATACAGATACTATAGCTATAGAAACTACATAAGATAGGTCAAAATCTATATAGGTAGGGAACTATATAATAAATTATATTATATATATAAAGAACTATATAAATAAGAAATTAGATCCATAAAAAACAAACTATCGATAGAGAACTAAACTAACAAACTACAATCAAATGAATAAGAAATGAAAAAAAGTACCAACCACAAAAACCTCGTGGGTTCTTCCTTTCTCGGTAAGCAAACGGCGTCGAGCCTGCGGCACCGCCTGTCGGGGCGGAGAAGGACGATTCTGAACTCGACGAGCCATGTTAAAGTTGCTGATATGTTGATTGATAACTGAAAGAAAGAAACGGATTAAATAATGAACTGACCTGTAAAAATCGCGAAAACATATATAAAATTTGGGAAAACATATGTAAAATCAAACAAAACAGGGAAAAGTTGAGATGAACTAAGGGAGAATAACCCGAGAATAAGGTGAAAATGAATAAAAATCTGAGAAGGAAGCAAATTAGAAGACCGAGAGAACAGAGAAAAAAAGGAAAAGAGCACTTTTTAGAAAACAATGGCTCATATCGCAAGGCGAGATTAGTCAACAGATTCCTGAATATCTTGATTAACATCATGGTTCCTAAAATTTTAGGAGTCGATTTTTGTACGTTAGAGTTCTTCACGGTTCTTCACCAAAAGGTGGTTAATTTTTTAGAGTTTTCAGTTATAGACTATTTCATTGAATCACCCCTATAAAATTTATGAGATTTGATGAAAAGTGGTACTTTTTTCTAGGAAAACCCTAATTTTAAATGCAAATTCGGATTTTCCATCAAAAATCGAGCTTAGAATAGTGTTTTTTATCATACTTCTCTATCTTCATTTATCTCTAAGTCGAAAAGTCTTGTAGTGAGTCTGTCTCCTATAATCGATCTCTGAACGATATTGGCCTTTAGCATAAAATCTCGATAAAACCTTTATTCAATATCCTATAAAGTACTTTTTCTAGGTCTAATTTTCATGCAGAATCCAAATATGTACTTAAAATTGAGGGGTTTCTGAGACTTTTTACCATATCCTGACGATACCCTAAATTCTTGCTTCCAGGAAATTAGTCCAACTTTGACCAAAATTTTCTTTATGTTTTTATCTTAGAGTTACTAAAGAGATTGTGAATTTCTAATACGAAATTTTATAAAGAATATCTTAAGAACAACCACAAATTGATCGCTCAACTCGAAGTGGAGATATGGAGGGAAAGAGAAGAGTCGTTAGACTTTTCCCTAACGATACTAACCACTTTTCCCAAGATGATCTTGCCCCCAAGATGATCTTGCCCCCAAGATCATCTTGCCCCCAAGATCATCTTGGGTACCCAAGATCATGATCTTGCCCCCAAGATCATGATCTTACCCTCAAGATCATGATCTTGCCCCCAAGATCATGATCTTGCCCCCAAGATCATCTTGGGTACCCAAGATCATGATCTTGCCCCCAAGACCATGATCTTGCCCCCAAGATCATCATCTTGCCCCCAAGATCATGATCTTGCCCCCAAGATCATGATCTTGCCCCCAAGATCATGATCTTGCCCCCAAGATCATAATCTTGCCCGCAAGATCATGATCTTGCCCCCAAGATCATGATCTTGCCCCCAAGATCATGATCTTGCCCCCAAGATCATGATCTTGCCCCAAGATTAGCAAATTCGGATTCTACATCAAAAATTGAGCTTAGAAAAGTCTTTTTGATCATACTTCTCTATCTTCACTTGTCTCTAAGTCGAAAAGTTTTGTAGTAAGTCGATCTCCTATAACTGATCTCTACACTATATTTGCATTTACCGTAGAATTCAAGGAAACCTTTACTCAATATCTTATAAGGTACTTTTTCTAGATCCAAATTTCAAGTAGAATCCGAATTTGCACTTAAAATCTAAGGTTTGCTTAGGTTTTTTACCATATCCTCACGGTAACCCTATACTTTCGCCCACAGAAATTTAGTCCAACTTTGACCAAGATTTTCCCTATATTTTTATCTTAAAGATACTAAGGAGATTGTGAATTTCTAATACGAAATTTGATAAGGAACATTTTAAGAACAACCACAAGTTGATCGGTTAACTGGAAGTGAAGATATGGCCGAAAAGGAGAGGATACCCCTAGAAAATCTGCCTACCCCCTAGACAAATGTCTAGGGGGGGGTAGGCACTTATCCGACTTTGACTCTAATTTTACCTAGGTTTTTATTGGTAAGTTTATAAAACAAATAAAACATTTCTAAAGTCAAATTTTGTGTAGATTCTAATAAACGCAACCGCTATTTGATTTGACTCTTAGATCTTGAGTTATAGACTATTTCATTGAATCACCCCTATAAAATTTTTGAGATTTGATGAAAAGTAGTACTTTTTTCTAGGCAAGACCTAATTTTAAGTGCAAATTCGGATTCTCCATCAAAAATGGAGCTTAGAAAAGTGTTTTTCATTATACTTCTCTATCTTCGCTTATCGATGAGTCGAAAAGTCCTGTAGTAGGTCGGTCTCCTATGACGGATCTCTATACTATATTTGCATTTATCGTAGAATTCAAGGAAACCTTTACTCAATATTTTATAAGGTACTTTTTCTAGGTCCAAATTTCAAGTAGAATCCGAATTTGCACTTAAAACCTAGAGTTTGCTAAGGTTTTTTACCATATCCTGACGGTAAACCTAGATTCCCGGTTGCAGAAATTTAGTCCAACTTTGACCGAGATTTTCTTTATGTTTTTATTCTAAAGTTACTAAGGAGATTGTCAATTTCTGGTAGGAAATATTATAAGGAACATTTTAAGAATAATCACGAGTTGATCGGTTAACTGCAAGTGAAGATATGGAGGAAAAGAGAAGAGTGATCAACCTCCACTGAACAATAGCACAATTGTTAAGGAAAAAGAGTACTTTTTGTTGAGTGAGCCCTGCTTTTTTCGATAGATTCGAACTTCTCGTCTAAAACTACGTCTAGGAAAGTGTTTTTAAAAGATTTGAAAAAAAAAAAATTTTTTCTTGAAAAAAAGCTAAGGTATTAGACTGTACTTTTTTTTCTCAAAAAAATTTTTTTTTTCCGAAACATATGAAAACACCTTTCCAGACGTAGTTTTGAGGATGGAATGCCAATCTGTCGAGAAAATTGGGGGTCACTTAACTGTCACTTAACAATGATTGAACTTACCCTTTTGGAAAAGTAGGGCAACTTTGATTAACAATTTCCCTATGTTTTTATATTAAGATTCACTGCGAAGCTATAGTTTTCTAAAATAGAATTTTGTTAGCTACATTTTAAAACCAACCACAAGTTGATCGGTCAACTGGAAGTGGAGATAAATAGAAATGAATATGATCCGAGTAGAGTGTACTAGGATCATATGAAATGCTCATTTCATATGATCCTAGTACAGTGTACTAAGATCCTATTTTGCTCTATGTTCCCTTGGTGAGTCTACAAAACAAATAATGCATTTCTAGACTGAAATTTCGTGTAGATTCTATTAAAAATAACCGTTAGTTGATTAGATTATTAGATCCTGAGCTATAGACTTTTTAATTGAACTTACCCTTTTGGAAAAGTAGGGCAACTTTGATGAAAGATTTCCCTATGTTTTTATATTAAGATTCACTGCGGAGCTATAGTTTTCTTAATTAGAATTTCGTTAGCTACATTTTAAGACCAACCACAAGTTGATCTATCAACTAGAAGTGGAGATAAGTAGAATTGTTGAGGATGGTACCATTCTCTCAAAAAGTATGGGGTAACCTTTAAAAAGGTAGGATGCAACCTTTTAATATTTATTTTGCTCGATGTTTACTTGGCAAATCTACACAACCAATAATACATTTCTAGACTCAAATTTTGTGTAGATTCTAATAAAAGTAACCGCTAGTTGATTTGACTATTAGATCTTGAGTTATAGACTTTTTAATCGAACTTACCCTTTTGAGAAAGTAAGTCAACTTTGATGAAGAATTTCTTGATGTTTTTATAGTAAAGTTGACTACCTAAGCTTAAGTTTGTTTAATTAGAATTTCGTTAGCTACATTTTAAGACCAGCTACAAGTTGATCGATCAACTGGAAGTGGAGATAAGTAGAATTGTTGAGGATGGTACCATTCTCTCAAAAAGTATGGGGTAATCTTTAAAAAGATAAGGTGCAACCTTTTAATATCTATTTTGCTCGATGTTTACTTGGTAAGTCTACAAAACCAATAATACATTTTGAGACTCAAATTTCGTGTAGATTCTAATAAAAATAAGCGCTAGTTGATTCGACTATTAGATCTTGAATT